TGCTTCTCGTAAGATAAGACTTCTCATGGCATAGAATTCATTAGAAGCACCGTTTCTGGGCAAGAGCTAGAGGGCATATTACAAATGCCATCACTGAAGCATCAAGGTGTCTGTCAGGAAACTGCAATGAATGTAAGATTAACAGTTTAGGCAGAAGACGAGATTAGCTGGTGCTAGCTGCGGTGCGGTTCTGTGAACCATTTAGAAGGTCTTCTCCTACACCATATTTATACTCCACCTCCACAAGCAGCAGATGCATCTTCAGCATTATCCCTTCAATACAAGAACAGTTGCTCCTAATTTCAGGCCTTGCCTATAGCTTGGAAGAATGGTCAGGACAGAGCTGGGGTCAGCAACATCCTGCAGATTTTGCTGGACAGGCTTCATTTTACAAGCCAGAATTATAATTAAAAAAACAAAAACCCCACAATATTTCCTGTATTTATTGGGAAAAAAAAAACACAAAAAAACACCTGCATCGAGTCTCACTGGAATATCAGGCTAGACATCAGGAGGCGCGACTTCACAGTCAGGGCGGCTAGGATCTGGAACCAACTCCGAGGGAAGTGGTGCTTGCTCCTACCCTGGGGGGGTCTTCAAAAGGAGGCTAGACAATCACCGAGCTGGGGCTTTTGACCTCAGCATCCTTTCCTGCCCATGGCAGGGGGTCAGACTTGATGATCTGCTCAGGTCCCTTCTGACCCTACCTACTATGAAGTGTACCTAGACAGTGATCAAATCATCTACAGCATAGAGGTTATGCATTATGGATGCATTCAGTTAACTGTCCAGGTGGCCTGACCGAGGTCTAAAGAGGAGGGTCAGAATTGGACCATTTATATGGAGTATCTGTTGTAGCTTATATGCATCATTCCAACTTAACGAGAGGAAACAATTTTAGCATGCATTAAATACCCTGCTAATTGTGCATTAGATGTGCTCAAGGTAGTTCATATTAAAGTTTAGGCCTTTCTTGAGAGAGAGGCAAGCAGAGTCTGCCTAGGCCAGTAAATGTTCATGATTTTTGCCATATCATCTTGCTGTACATCTGGGGAGGCAGGAGGGAGACTCGCTGCCAGGATTGTACAGGCAGCTAATTCCTCTTAATGTCAAGGGTACAGTCCGTTTCATATCTTGCTTAATTTTACTTCTCAAAGTCTGAATGCAATGAAAGGACTTTGGTTTTGCTCGACCTGCTTTACCGCAAAGCCTGGGCAATCCTGGCGCTCTGGATTAGAGGAAAACCCCATTTGAAGAGGTTACCACATCTAGGGGATAGCAAGAACTACACCTGAAGTCAGGCAAACAACCTTAAACTCGGTTTTGCTTGTGATCTCACTGTCCCAACAGTTCAAGGCTTAAGCGTACTTCTAATCCTGCTTTTATAACACTTGCTTCCAAATGAAAAATCCTGAAATATGAGCCTAAATTCACCAAACTAAGAGATTTACTGAACACTATATGCTTGCTCTTGTGGAAGAGGAGAGAGAGAAAGAGAGAATGAATAGGGGGTCCTGTCACCAAGCAGTTCAGAGACAGTCACAAGAGTTACTGTACCTCCCCTTCAGATTTCACACCAACCACTTTGCCATTTTCTATCACGATCTCTTCGATTGGCTTGTTCAGCATGTAGGTGCCTCCATAAATAGCGCTTAGCCTACAAGAGTAATGCCACATTAGCACAAGGCTCTGCATTTGGACAGCCATCCCAGATACTTGCTCACTTACTCTGCTTCAAGAGACCCCCCATGTATCAATTAAGCTCATGGTAACACAACTCTGTGGTCTTGATAAGGAGCTGGCCTGAAAGTCTTTGCTCACTTACTCTGCTTCAAGAGACCCCCCCATGTACCAATTAAGCTCATGGTAACACAACTCTGTGGGCTTGATAAGGAGCTGGCCTGAAAGTCCGAAAATATGCTGCAGTAACAAGATATTGCCTTGCCCTCAGGCCTGGATTTCCATGACACTTCCATCTGAAATCAAGCATTTCATTCATGCCATTCAAGGATCTGGGGCAGTTTTACTCGCTGTGGTGCCCCTGGCTAAGTTCAGTAGCACAAACAGGCAAATCTTACTCCATAAGTTTGCCTCAATCTTTTAAGAGCAGCTGCAGCTTTTTGCTGAACTGTTAAACCTCACCGTAACAACTGCTTGCGTTTAGTGGAATTGATGGATTACCACACACTGACCTATGCATCTGCAGGGTTTGGGTTTTTTTTAAAAACTTACCACACAGGAATCCCCAAAGCTTAGGTACTCAAGTAAGAGCCCAACCATGTTAACCGTTTCCAAGGCAGACTGCTCAACTGTGCTCTCATTTCCTATTTAAAGGCTGGTTTTCTCCCAAGCCATGATCACATCTACTTCCGAGCAGAAAGCACCAGTTCAAAGTGTCTGGATAGCCAAGCTATGAGTAGACCGCAGGTTGCAAGCTTTGAAGTGCAGCATGTAGGAAACTGTTTAGGGTTGCTGAAAATACTACTCCCAGGTTCAACCCTCCTATTGCTGGCAGTGGGAGACAGCAGGCAGTGCAAGCCAGCCTGCAGGCCTTCCCAGGAACCAGGATCTCACTTGTGAGAAACCTGGACGGCTTCCAGGTGAACACCAACGGCAAGAGTGCCGTGGCCAGGGTTTCTATTTGCTGAAGTTCCTCAATTCTATGAGGCTTTAATCTGATGTAGTTATGCCAACTTTGAACTTGTCTCTGGCATGAATAATGCAGGCAGCCAATTCCTGTAGTGCAAGGGTGTTAAACGCATAGCCTGCTGGCCAGATCTAGCTTACAGAGCTGCATTACCTAGCCACCAGTAGTTCGGGGAAGTGGCCTGAATTTGGGGCTCTTGGGCTACAGGGAGCACTGGCAAGAGGACGAGCAAGGGATAATACAGTCCCCATCATCCTACAACCATTTTGCATACCACCACTGCTGAAGCCCCCCACCTCCTTGGCCACCAGCCCCCCCACCATCAGCCTTTGTCAGAGCCCAGCGCAGTCCAGGCCTGGCCCATGGTGCAAGGAGTGTTTGATGCCACAGTGACAGTGCATCGAAAGCCCTACTAACTGGTGAATTAAGGCAAGTGTCAGCAAGCCCGATGCTAGACCGGTCTGTAACCAAGCAGGTCTTTTCCAATACTGAACTAACGTTGTAGAGGGCTTGGCTGCCTCTCAGACAAGAAGTTAAGTGCATAACACCACTTCCTCTCAAGTCCATTGAGCTGGCTCGGGGCCAAAGATGAATCTAACCCACCGCACCAGACACCTCTCTCCCCAGAAGAGGGATGCAGTGCCCATGAACACTGCTCATTCAGGCCAGCATAGGGCTCAAAAATCCCCATTCCTGTACTGCCTCCCCCCCCATACCCAACACCCCACTCCACAATGCAAATTTTCTCAGTGAAATAAAAGGAAGTTAAGAAATGCCATGCAACAGATTAAGCACGTTCCCAGGCCCAGCACCCAAGATTCTGCCCGACAGCCGTGAACAGCTCGTTGGAGGCAAGCTGAAACTCGCAGCTAAAAAGTTCTCACCTTGCAAATCCCTGGGGCAGCTCTCCAAGGCCATACAAGGGATACAGGTAAGGGCTTTTACCGTATCTAGCCAGTGATTCACTGTACAGTTTAATCCTGTTGATAGTTTCGTGGCATGGTTGATCTAAGTAGCTGGAAAGAGAGGGGGGGTGGAAGAAAAAAAAAAGTCAAGAAGATCTGAGCAGACAGCACTCGTTTCACCAGACCCAAGACAGTTTTGCATTAGGGTGTGCTTTAAGAGTTAGGTTGCCTCTAATGGAGCTGCCTTTCCACTCTTCCTAAGCTGCCACTCCTGAAGCACACTTCCCCACTGAGGAGAGCAGAAGGAGGGAAACAAACACTTTAGGTTTTGCTAGACTGCTCATTTAAGCCTTTAGGTAACCCTTGAGGGAATGGTTAACCCAAACTACTAGCTTATCAGAAGCAGACACATCCCACTAGCACTAAGGACCCAGCACTTAAAAATCCATTGTTCCAAATGTTCAAAAATGCCCCTTCCCTGAAGGTAAGCTCCATGCATTTGTGGCTGATGAAGACCCCATACCCTTCAAGGAGGATCTCTCCAACTCACAGGGCATGGAAGCAACACCCAATCCCAAGTGGTGTTAGAAGCCAGCGAACACACTTACTCATCAGTTCTGTACAGTGCAAGAGCGTGACCTGTGAAGTCTATGACATCCTGGCCTAGGTCAAACTTCTTATACACATCTCGCATAGTCGTCTTCTTGGGGTCAACACCTTCAAATGTTCGGGCGTCGTTCTCATCAAAGTTAGCAACGTACACTAGAAATTTCCTGAACCGGCGTTTCTCGAACAAGCCCATCAAACCTACAAGGAACAAGAAGCGTTATCAGATCAGAGATCTTTGCTACAGATCAAGGGGTCCGATTAGAAACCAGAAAGCAGTTTCAAGTCAAGCCTTCTTCTGACTTGTAAAGCTATGGCATCTGCCAGTCCACGAAGTATTACAGCAGGCGCACTGGCAAGGACTAAAAACCCTTCAATGTGCCCCAAAATTTAAATCTGTCCAAGTTAGCCCCAAATTAAAGATTGTGCTGCTTGGGCTAAAGGACTCTCAAAAGCTCCAGATTAGCTGGAGAGCTAGTCTGCTTATTAGGGAAGTGCAGAGTAGCTTTCAATATTAGAACAGGACTCAGCAGATGTGCTAGACACTCGGCAGTAGTACAGAGAGCTACTCCTATAGCTCACGGATAATCTCGCTACTCCCAGTTGCCATTCGAGGGGAAAGTACTATCCTGGATCTGTAAGCTTTTCTGGCTCAGCCTCAAACTAAGTAAGAGCCCAATCAGCTAAATTACCACCTTCCATCAGTTAAGCAGCTCTGGCTCCTACCCCCTCCAGTGTGCTGCAAAACAAAAGCAAGCCTACTTCTCTAGTCCCTCCATAGCCTTTTGAATCCTTCCCACATGACTTAGTAACTGTCTTCAATGCCTCCAGCTTAAGTCTGCAAAAGAAGATGGGCATCCTGGTCCTAATGTGAACAGGACAGAGGCAAAGCTAGGTCACTCAGACAGCACCATGAAAACAGGCAGTAGGCAGCAGAGGCACTTGGGCAGTTTGCTAAATTTAAGCAGACACTTCAGGTTACTCTCGGGAACCCTTCGATGGCTCAAGGAATGAGAAAGTGGACTACTCCAGGCTCCACTTCCCAGGGATGGCTATACAGCATTGCTCCAAGCAACTGGAGCAGCTATCACGTTGCAGCTGCAAGGAGAAGGAAGATTCAGTCCCCGACCAACTCTTCAGGCATGCTGCCCATCTGGCCACACTTCCCTGGTACAAGTGTTTGACATGGACATAAAAAAACCCTATAAACAAGAACTTGCTGAGTAACTCTTCCCCAGTTTAGGCATTTGGGCTTACAAGAGGCTATACTGCAAGAGGTTCAGTGTTATCATTTCCATCCCAGAGCACTGGACAGAGTCCAGAACCCAAAAGCTGGATGGGACCTCATGGAGCTCCCTTGTTCGTTACTGAAGCCCAGTTAAAACAGCTCTCCAAGGACCGATTCAGTGGAAACAAAAACAGTTTTGTCTTGTATCTCCTCTAATATTAGAAAGCAATGGATGTTCCACTGACACACAGGTCTGTCCCTTCTGTCTTCCCCACATGCCTACACACACACACACAAACTAGAAAGCTGCAAAAAGGGCTTTATGTGGCTCTCAGCTGGAGATTTCTGTATCTGAAGAGATTGTGGACTCACTGGACACGTCTACTGCACTTTTAGCAGCTTGTGCAGATTACTGGCAAAAGGCATGCTAATGCGCTACATAATTAGTCTACTGCACATTCGTGTCACTTAAACATGTGCACTGGTGCTACTGCACAATAGCACTGATTACAATGCATTAAGTTAGTACCCATTACAGGTACTAAAAACTTTATGCACCATAATTATGGCACATTAATGCATGTGCAGGATGTGCCCACCCTGTACAGGATCGAGACACTATCTTTAGTATCTGGAGAAAAAGAGCACTTTTGGTTTTCATTAGGCTCTTTTAACAAATCAAAATCCAGGGGGAGTAGTCATCAGCATTCCTTCTGGACACAAAGCTGATTAGTTTGCAAACTAGCTCCTACTTCGTACTGCAGCTGTGAAAATGCAGTTTCTGCAACACTTCCATGTGTGTTAAGACTACGCTGCAACATCAAGACAGGAAGCATCTTGATTTTAATAAATAAAGGACATTTAAAGCAAAAAAAAAAAAAAAGTTAAGAATTAACAGCAATTTTCTGCTGGAGCTGGCAACTGAATCTATTTCCCTACTCCTCTTTTTGAGCTGTATGACAATCCCTCAGAAGAGTCTAAATCGCAGAAAAGCCAGCTGTACCAGGCTAGGCTTGTTAAGGAGAGCACACATAAGAATCGCTCAAGATCATCTGTCTCCAAAAACTGTTTCAGTTCAGACCTGAAATGCAGGACAGCAGGGTTGACAACCTGTACCCGAGCTGCATTCAGCCCACGAAGCACCTGGATCTGGCCTGCAACAAGGGAATCAACTGCAAGCAGCTCACCCCCTTTTCTGCCCAGCACAGTGCTACTGATCCTGTCTACAGCCCTCCTTGCTCGCTCCTACCCCGCCTGCCAGTGCTGCGTACTACAGGTACCATTTCTCCCCATTCCTCCTCCCCAGTACACTGCTTACTGGAGGTAAGCTTTCTTCCTTCACATCTCTCCTCCTCCCTCTCCACTCCAAGATCAGCTGCCACCTCCTCCCCAGAGGGGAGGTGGCAGCAGCCAGGTCACCAACTATGAGTCCCTGGCCCAACACTTTAAAAGGTTGCCAACCCTTAGAGTAGAGAATGGTTAGCTTGGAATCCGCCTTAGATGCCAAATCTATCAGTTAAACTAATCTAGTCTCATACTTGTAAAGAAGCAAGAGCAACTGAAGAGGTAAACCCTGTACTTGGAGCAGAACGTATTGCTGGAAGGGGATGTGGAAACACCATTAGGAATGGTTCAACGATGCACATTACACAAAACTTGGTTATCCACCCTGTTAGCGTGCATGCATTCCCAGTTCGTCTGGGAGATTTAATACCGCCGATACAACCCAATGACAATACCCCAAAGAGCTGTAAGCTTACAACTGAAGGAAAACAATATCCAAGTGAAAAAAAAAAAAAGAAAGAAGAAGAAAAACTGCTTACTGGATGCCAAGGCTTCTGCCTCAGTGGAAGGAACCTTGTAGATTTTGCCACCCTTGTAGACAAAGCTTCCTTCAATCACTTTGAAGTCTAGGTAACGAGTGACTTCTGTGTAAAGCAGCATCTTTACCAGCTGACCTGCAATCAAGAAACCAACAGCAGATCTTTATCTGGGTGATGAGCCCCCTGTGAAGAGGATTATTCTTCTCCTCCAACTTCAGAACAACTCCCAAAACGCTCATAACACTGCTTTGCCACAGTATCTCCCCATATACTTGAGACAAGGCAGGGTCAGAGAGAGTTGGAAGTGTGGACATCCGTTTTAACCAGTTTGCAGAAGACTGCAAAAAAAAAAAAAAAAATCCCCTTTCTGCTACTTCAAGCGCTGCTAATATGTTGGTAGAATTCCTAGTGTCCTCACTTTTGTGATGCTGCTAGTGACATTTTTTACTTGTCTAACACTTGTCAAATCAAGATTTGACAAGGCTGGAATTGCAATGGCAGGAAACAAAGGGACAGTGCTGTGCTCTATAAAAATTAACAGTCAAATATCCAGACAAAGTTTACAAGCAAGGCAGCTACTTTAGGCAAGACGGGTCTTCACTCCTACTGTCACCCAGAAATTCATTTTAGTTGAGTGGCATGCTACCTTAAGAAACAACTGAACTAAGGATGTAGCTTCTTTATCAGTCTGTGGGTAAGCTGGCTGAATACACAGTTCGGTAGGCAGGGCTTCATGTGTTATGACTCTTGCCCGATCCACAGCATCGGTAGAATCCCTGTCTGCCACACCAGAGACCTGGGTTTAATTCACGTATGCTTATACAGTTACAGCCATGGAGGCACCAAACGTCTGGACTCAGTCTGGCCTTTGGATTCTGTCTCAATGGCCTACAGGGTGGGATGGAAGATCTGGGCATCCTCCACACTCCTGCCTAGGCATACGTGTTGAAGGTCTAGGTGACTTCTCACACATACACCACAATCCAGAAGGGTTGACAGTTGCCAAACCAGGTAGTCCATCTTGCCAATACACAGTATTACCAACCAGGGAACAGAAGCAAGAATAAAGTGTCTTGCATAGGTTTCATGAACAAAGTCTCCGATGGCTGTAATAATGGATATTTAGTAATGTTTTAAAGCAGCCCTAGAAACTGGGAAAACGAGGACAATTTAACTGCTGACCAGCCACTTTTGCTGCTAATGGTAGCTGCAGTGCTTATCAGCGAGTTGGCTGGACCTAGCAATGTGCCCAGTGACTAGAAGAATCACTAAGGAATGGGTGGGGTGAAGATATCTGCAAGCAACTGGCCACTAACCCTATTTGCTATCCTATTCAAGTTCAGTCCTTTTCTTAGCCTTCGAAACTGCATTATTGCCTACTCTAGTGGCATCCACCCTTGCTAAAGAACAAAAACCCTTACTTCATGTTTTCAGCACATGTTTGTGACCAGTTTTCTATAACCCATGAACAACACCTGTGTACAGCACAGGTGCAAGTACATTGCAAAATCCAGTTTAGAATAAACGCATTTCTATAATTAGAGACCCTGCCTTTAGAAAGGTCATACAGCTGACTTTTTAAGGTTCTTCTGTAACATGCTCTGCTTCTCTAAGACATGGGCCCCAACTTTTGAGACTGTTTCCTTGTAAACGTCTCAGCTAGGACACAGTGAGTTATAGCATCTACCCAAATGAGGGCAGACCCAGTGGGAGAACAAATATTTTTTGAATTATCTGAATGACTACTTCAAGCAGCCCTGGAAGAGACCTTCAAGACAGCTCCTCAGAACCAATACACAGAAAGACATACTGAAGTTGGGACCCTGTCTTTAGTCAGAAATAGCCTCAAGGAGATGCAAGTTACCTACCATTAGCCATAAGGAATTTGGGAATCAGGTCCACGTTCCAGTCTCTCCCTCGTCCCATTGACTCTGGGGGAGACCCAGGTAGATTAAACCTTTTATAAAGCTTTGGATGAAAACAAAGACAAAGTATTACTTACTTTGCTATATTATCAGTTTGCAAGGAAATCGGACCACCCCAGGCTTCCCAGGCAGCAAGTAACTGATTCACACATGCAAGATATTTAGTTTGAAAACCCGACTAATGAACGATGCCATGTGCAAATCACATCTAGTACTACTGCAGGTCTAGCAGCAAGCAGGCTGCTTGTACTCATGAAGAGTTGTTTTCCTTCAATGCAGAGCCCCGGAATTGGAGACGGGCTTATCAGGATTACAACCTGCTAAACCAAAACTGCTTTTGTACAGCACAGCAAAAAGTAATCTGATCAATTTTGCTGCCTTGCTGAGCAGATCACTGTATTTGAGGCTTTAAATCAAGTTTCCAGGCAAGTAAATGCTCCCTTGCCTTGCCAACCAGACTCATGATCAGATTGCCTAGAGACCATTTAATTGATTAGTTACAGCAACTTCAGCTTTTGGAGTAGGATGTTCAGAGAATTTTGCAATCGTGTGGTTATGTGAACTGAACAAGTGCCCACTCTAGTTTGCAAAGCTTGGAAAGAAAGACCAAAATGCATTAGTGCTTTTACTTTTGAGTTTGTCCTGAAGATGTAGTAGGTGTCTGACTGAAACAATGTTCACTGAGAAAGCTGTACAGCAGTAAAGAAATTTGGCTAAGTTACCTCTGAGGCTGAACCAAGCTACTTAGAGAAACAACAACTTGTTATCTAGTTAAAGTTGAATTTTTTTCCCCTCCTTCAATCTCATCAAGCATTTAGATAACAGCACAGCTACTATTTAGTCATATCAGACGATAGACCAAAGATTGTAAAGGATAAAGATGTTGCTAATTTTATTTTTGTTGTCCCCAGTACCAATGTACTGAAGAGGAATGCCAATTGTATGACTGGAGATGTTTGAAACATGTAGTTAGGGAGCAATCAGCTAGGTATAAGGATAGAGTATCAGTCTTCAGTACTTACATCCTCCAGTGGTGTAATGGATGCACTTTCACCTCCATAGTAAGAGTTGCGATCCATATGAAGGACCTTCTTTCCATTCACGGACATAATACCAGAGAGGATACATTCCTGTGCACAAGAGAGACATTTTATTTAAATAAATGCAGGGGAAGCCCTGTGTCAGCTATACAGCAGAGCCTTCCTGTTCCTAGATTCTAGGAAGGAAACACTGCAAAGTCACCAGGGCTTGCACTAAAGCCAGAGGACCAAACCCTGGCACTTAAGCAGATTGAAGGAGCATATTGGCAGCACGCCAGTCACGTTTCACAAATTCTATGTCTCAGAACTGAGCAGGAAGAGAAGCAAGGCCGTTTTCAGGGAATACGGGCCCCAGATAGCAAAAGCAAGATTGGATACCTGTCAAAGTTGAAGAAGCCTATTATTACAGGCATGCATATTTTGTTTTAGGACGCATTATCACCACCTTAAAGATGCAATTGCTGAAATGATTCTGAGAAGTGATGGAGGACAACTGACACACAGCAGAAAGTGAACCAAAAAAAAAAAAAAAGTAACGTCAAATTAAAATTAGTCTTTGGAATTGAAGCCACAGATGCGGAACAATTTTTTGAAGTAGTGTTGGGCACTGAAGAGACTCATTCCCACTCTGAAAGGGAAGCTTTCACAGCCCAACCGAGGAGAGGAGAATGGTGCGTGTGCCTCCAATAGGACTGATACGTTCCACCGACATGGGGGAGTCACCAGAACTGTTGACAATAGTTTGACTTGGATCAAAAAGAGGAAGTGTTAGTTTAGGTGCAAGCTTGTGTATCAAAAAGCCTTGGGGGATGTATGCTGAAGCCAGGCAACCACTCTGACTTTCTACTAGGTTTAAGAGACTTTAACACAAATAATTGGGTAAACCACAAAAGCTTCCTACCTCTGGGACCATAAATTACTAACTTAAGGAGGTCCATCCTCTGCAGATTGCCAATAAGGCTGGATCTAAGAAGGCAACCCTAGCCTTGAAGGGCTCAAGGGAATAAGGTTCTTAAGGACTCCTCCATCTGGCTCTTCAAACTAACTGTTTGGCAAGAGAAACTCTAAAAGTTACCCAAGATAATTCTCTTTTGTTGGGTGTAAGCAACTCTTATAGACTTTGTGGGATACCCCAAGTCAAGGGTCAGCAATGTTTTTGGGCTGGGTGCCAAACACACCTGCAACCTCGGCTTGCAAGATCTTGGCATGCCAGGGACAGACAGCAAGGGAGCCGTGAGGAGCCTGATCCTTGTTGGGGCATGCAACTCTGCTGTCCACCAAGGTGCACGGGCCAAGCAAAATGCCTTCATGTGCCACACGTGCCGGGTGGTTACTGACCCTTGCCAAGTCTTCCAAGTCGGTCCCTGTAGTTACTGCCAGAAATGCCTTCTTAAGACCACATGGAACAACATGTTACACAACCTTTGTGTATTGCAGCCATCCTGTGCTTGCCTTATACCACAAAAGTAAGCCACTATGAATGCCAGCCAGCACCGTACCTAGATTCCTGGTGGCCTCAGGCAAACTTTTAGTATCGGGCCCCGCTTCACCAGTGATGATAATAATAGTTACCATTTTCAGGCCCCCTTTCAGTCCAGGCCCTGGACGGCCACCTGGTTCACCTATGCCCGTGTCTGGCCCTGATGCCAACATTCAAAGAGATACAGCTCACATCTGAGCAGAGGTAATGCCACCTGGTCCCATACAACCCAAATGGAAGTGAATAACTTGGTGTCTAAATGAGCTTGAACGAATGGGATGATCACGGTTGCCACTCAGCACTGGCAAAGATTAGTGTTGCCACCTTCCAAAGACACAAAGCTTTACTTTCTGGAGGCCCAGGTTACAGCTGTGGGTAAGAATCTCAGCAGATGAGAAGGGAACATCTCCTGTGGTACATACCTTTTCTGAGTTAACACACATCTTTACTACCATGAGGTTGCTGAATGCCCAGAAGACGGTCCTAAAACTAGTTTGACTGACTAGTGTCTTCATGGATCCCTCGAGTTCTGTCAAGTGAAGAGTTTAACCCAGTGGTTCTCAACTGAAGTGCCACAAGACCCTTTTAAAGGTCACACTGGAAACAGGAAGCAGCGCACCACAGGCACCACCACATTTGGCTTCTGCAAAGCAAAAA